ATACTCACTCTCACATTGTACAGATCAACCAGGCAAAACATCAATGAAAAAGTAAGAGTCTTAAAAGGATAACTTGATCAATTGCATCTAATAAAAATATTCAGGACCCCCCCACCTCCCAAAATAAACTGAATATACACTTTTCTCCATTTCACATGGTTCAGTCTTCAGGATAGATGACACGCTAGGACACAATTCCAACATTTACAAGATCACAAAAATAAAAAGCATCTATTTTCTTCTCAGATAACAAAGCCACAAAAGTAAACATAGATCATTAAAAGGAAGTGGCATAATGCTAAATAAAAATTGGATCAAAGAGGAAATCATGTAAGAAACCAAAAGATTCCTCAGAACAAATGAGAATGAAGACACCAACTACCATAACCCAATGAAGAAAACAAAAGCAGTACTAAAGGGAAAGTTTACAGTTATTCAAGCATATACCAGGGAAAAAAAAAAAAGAAAAGACTGAAATCAACAATAAAATGGAAAAAACAGTGAATTCCAAAGCAAGTGGAAGACAGACGCTAATAAAAATTATAGCAAAAATCATCATATGAAAAACAAAAACAATAAAAAATTACAGGGGCTGGAATGATAGCACAGTGAGTACATTTGACTTGCACCCAACCAACTCAGGTTTGATCTCTGGCACCTCATACGGTCCTCTGAGTATTACCAAAAGTGATTCATGGGTGCAGAGTCAGGAGTATAGCTGTGTGGCCCCAAAACATATATATATATATATATATATTTGATAGAATCACAGATGACAGGGGAGAAATCACAATAGAGATCTCAGAAATACTAAAAATCATACAAGTTATTACAAATATCTTTATATCACCACGCTCGAGAGCCTAAAATAAAAGGGAAAAATCATAGAATCATACAAACTATTAATATTGAATCAAGAGGAAACAAAAAACCTGAGCAGACTGATATCAAGTAAAGAAACTGAAATAGTAATAAAAATTATTCCTAAGAACAAAAGCCCAGATCCAGACGGATTCACTAGTTAGTTTGACCAAAACTTCAAAGAAGACAGTGACCATACTCCTTAAGTTGTACCAAAATATTGAGGAAATAGAAATCCTCCCGAAGAGTGTCTATGAAGCTAACATTATACTGATACTTAAATAAAGAGATTCTACTTAAAAAGAAAATTATAGACCAATTTCCTTGACAAACATTAATGCAAAGATCATCAAGAAAATCCTAGTGAACCAAATCCAGCAATGTATCAGAAGGATTATGCATCATGACCAAGTGGGATTCATGCCAGGGATGCAAGGATGGTTTAATCTATGCAACTAATCAATGTAGTACACCATATCAACAAAAATATAAAAATCATATGGTGATATCAATTGATGCAGAGAAGACTTTTCACAAGAGCTAATACCCATTCATGATTAAATAAAAAAAGAAACCTCCAAAAATAGAAGGAACATACCTCAAGATAGTAATGGCTGTCTACAACAAACTAACAGCAAACATCTTACTCAATGATAAAAAAAAAAAAAAACTGAAAGTCTTTCCTTTGAGATCAGGTACAAGAAAAAATGTCCCTTTCCATAACTTTTATTCAAGCAGTTTAGAAGTCCTCACTACAGAAATTAGAAAATAAAAAGTATCCAAAAGATGCAAATTGGAAATGAAGAAGCTAAACTATCACTATTTGTAGAGTACTATACAAGGTACTATACGTTGAGAACCCAAAAACCCCTAAGAAATAATAAACCTATTAAAAAGGGAAAGAAATAATGAACCAAATATAGTAAGGTATCAGGTTACAAAATTAATACACAAAAATATGTGGCATTCCTGTGCACAACTAATAAATTATAAGAATAAGAAAATTTAAAAAGACTATCCCTTTCAAAGTAGTCCAAAACATCAAATACCTAGGAATCAACTTTTCAAGGAGGGTGAAAGACTTATACAATGTAAAGTATAAACCAATGCTAAGAGAAATAAATAGGATAGCAGGGAATGGAAAAACATTCCTTGTTCATGGATTGGAAGAATCAATGTTGTCAACATAACTACCCAAATATTATCCATATTCATTTCAATATCAATTATAATTCCAATGTAGTTTTTCAAGGATTTGGAACAAATTCTACTAAAATTTGTATGGGACCATAAAACTCCCCAAACGTTCAAAGCAATCTTAAGAAGTAAAAGAAAATGGGAGGATGGTACTACATGGAAAGTATCATGTTAAGCGAAATGAGTCAGAAAGAGCGGGATAGACACAGAAAGATTGCATTCATCTGGGGAACATCAAGCAACAAAAAGGGAGATTAACACCCAGGAATGGCTGAGATTAGTACCAGGAATTTTGCTCCATGAAAGAAGGCCAGCCACAGGCTCTAGGTGAAAAGGAAGCTCAGATAGAGAAGAGAGTACCAAATGAAGGGTGTTGTGAGGGCCCTCCCAGGGTGGGAGATGCATGCTAAAAGTAGCCGATAGACCAAACATGATTGCCACTCAAAGCCTCTCTTGCAAAACACAGTACCCAAAAGAAGAGAGAGAGAACAAGGGGGAATACCCTGCCACAGAGGCAGGATGGGAGGGGGGGGATGAGGGGTGGGGGGGGATGCTGGGACCCGTGGGGATGGATGACGGGCACTGGTGGAGGGATGGGCACTTGATCAATGTATAACTGAAACCCAAGCACAAAATTTGTAAGCCTATAACTGTACCTCATGGTTTTTCACTAATAAAAAAAGAAAAAATAATAAAATAAAAAGAAAAGAAAATGGGAGGAGGCATTGCATTTCCCAACCTTCAACTATACTACAGAGTTATTATAATAAAAACGTCATGGTACTAGAATAATGATAGTAGCCTAATGGAACAGAATTGAGAATTCTGAGTTAACCCCCAGATTTATAAAAAATTAATCTATGACAAAGGAGCTAATTATATGAAGTGAAGCAAAGAAAATCTCATCAACATGTAGTGCTGGGAAAACTAAATAGTGATGTGTTTTAAAATATGCAATAAAATTGTACCTCACACCACTCACAAAAGTAAACTCAAAGTGCATTAAAGACCTTGAAATTAGAAACCAGAACGACAGTACAGCAAGTAGAGTGCTTCCTATGCACATCGTTGAGTCAGGTTCAGTCGCTGGCACCGTATCTGATCCCCCAAGTTCCACCAGGAGTATTCCTTGACTGAGCACTGACGGGTGTGGTCCAAAAACAAACAAATAAAAAAAGACCTCTAAAATTTGTGTGGAAGCATAAAAGTAGGCCAGGATCTATAAAATATATCGAAAAAAAAACCATCAGCAGAACTCCCTAGGAACTTAATTGCAGAGAAATTAATTCAATGAGATTCATTGAATTCAATGAGATGACCACGAATGCAACAACAACAACAAAATAAATGGGGTTACAAACAATTAAAAGCTTCCGCACAGCAAAAGAAACTTAAGCTATATGGCATCTATCCACAAAACACAAAAACATTAATTTGAAAGGATACATACACACGTGTTTATCATGGTGGCCATGATATGGAAACAATCCCACTGCCTGACTATGGATGAGTGACCCAAGAAGTTGGAATGGAATACTAAGAAAGAACAAAATCAAGAAATAAGCCATGACATGAATGGAACTACAGGATATCATGCTGAGTTAAGTCAGAAGGATAGATACAGAATGTAACTCTCTCATATGTGGAACTTAGATATACAGAGCAAGATAGCAACTAAGGTCAAAGGCAACGCAATGAGAGGACTGATCCACAGAACTGAATTTGGGGTCGGGGCTGAAAGGACACTGGGCAGAAGGAGAGGGAGAGATATAGAATGGTTCTATTCATTTGTCGTATATAAAGTATATATAGTAGAAAAATAATATCCATAGACAGGAAGAACAGGTTCGGAGGACTGGTCAGTTGTTAGAACTAACCACAGTGTGTGTGGGGCTGAGGGTAGATAAGATAGAGAAGAGACCAGTATGACAATAATAGCTGAGAATGATCACGCTGGACAAGATCTGAGGGTTAAAGTAGGTAAAGGGGTATTTTTAATGACCTTTAAGTATCAATATTGCAAACCACAATACCCAAAAGGGTGGAGAGAGAGAGAGAGAGAGAGAGAGAGAGAGAGAGAGAGAGAGAGAACGTACCTGCCATAGAGGCAGGCAGTGGGTGTGGGGTGGGAGTGATGGGAGGGAACCTGGGGACATGGCTGGGAGTTTGTTGTTATGACAATGTTCAACCCTGTTCAACCCCACCTACGTGTACCCCCCACCCTTCATGATTTCTATATAACTCTGCTTGTAAGGGGTAAAAAGGGTAGAGGACTCTGAGGTCTAGGAGGAGGAAGCCGATAAAGAGGAGGAGGAGAGCAAGGATGAGGGAACTAGGATGACCGGGACTACGACCAAACTGACGACTACTGTGCTGCCAGGGAGAGGTGGGACTCGCTGGGGAGGAGAGAGAGAAACTGACTACCGACCAGCCTGGGGCCCTGTGTCTCCATTCCCGGCCCGTCCTGAATTCACCATGGGCCGGCCAGGGGAATGGCACGGTTCTCAGCCACCGAACGCTCTTGTCCCGTGTGTGCCCGCGCTTTCCTTTCAAACTCCAGGGAAGTCTGTGGTGCCGGAATTGTGATCGCAGGCAAACCAGACCACGATCTGGAGTATCACGGACTCTCAGAAAATGTTGACGCTCCTAATCCGGTGCGCCTCCACCAGGCTCAGACGGCTACGATATTTTAGGTTGCAAACCCACCCGGCCCCCCCAGCACCTCCGAGAGGCGCAGGTCAGGCCTGGGAGAGGGACGCCCGGGAGGGGGCGGTGACCGGGGGAAGGGAGCGCCTCCGAGAGGGCGGAGTGGGGCCGGCCCTTTAAGAGGGCGGGGCCGGCCGGCGCCCCGCCCCGCGGGCGGCGCAGGCGCAGCGGGCTCCCGGAAGCGGCGGCGCGGGCGGCCCGGCGCTGGCCGGCGCGGGCCCGCAGTCCCCGCAGCCCCTCTGCGCCCGGCAGCACCATCTGGAGGGGCGGGAGCGCGCGGCCGGTGGGCGGCCTGGAGGAGCAGGGGGGCGTGCGGCCGGCCGTGCAGGAGCGGGGCGGCGGCAGCGCGGCCGTGCAGGAGCAGGGCGGCGGCAGCGCGGCCGTGCAGGAGCGCGGGGAGGCGCGCGCGGCCGAGCAGGAGCGCGGGGAGCCGCGGACGGCGGGCCCGGGGGGGGCGGCGCGCGCGGACCGGCGCCCGCTGCTGGGCAGCGCCCGGCCCTCGGGGCCGCGGGGGCCGGCGGGCGTGCAGGAAGCGAACTGGCTGCCGGGGGTGCAGGAGGGGCAGGCGGTGCGGGCCGTGCAGGAGACCTCCCCGGACGGGAAGGGGTCCCGGGAGGGAGAGCGCCCGGCCGAGGGCCGCGGCGTCCGGAGGCGCCGGCGCCGCCGCCGCTGGTGACCGCGGGCAGGTAAGGACGGGCCGGGGCGGGGCCTCCGCGGGGTCGCCCGGGGGTCCTCGGGCCGCGTCGCCACGCCTTCCCGCTCCGGGAGGGACCGGGGCCGGGCGGGCCGAGGCGTGGGGCGGGCGGCGGAGGCCCGTCCTCCCGGGCCGCTGACCCTTTGCCGGCGCGGTCAGCGCTCGTGCTCCCGAGCCCGGACCGGGGGGTGGGGACGCGTGCCCCGCCCCGCCCTGCCCGGTGGGCGCGCCGATCCCCCCGTCCGTGCCCGGCCGCCCGGCGCTCGCGTCTCGGCGGCTGCGGCTCCGGGCCGCTGGGAGTGGACAGAGTCGCCTGGGCACTTTTGCGGGGAGGACGCTCGGGGCCGCCTCTTACGCGTCCTGTCAGCGCGGCGGGCCGGGGGAGGAGGAGGAGGAGCCGGCCGGCCCGGGGTCCAGCCGGGGGTCTGCGCTGGGGGCGGGGGGGGGGGGGGCGGCGGGGAGGAGGAGCCGGCCGGCCCCGTGTCCGCGCGGCCTCGCCACCGCCCTGACTCCGGGGCCAGCACTCCCGTCGGAAACCGGAGCTTTCCCCGCACGGAAGTGCCGTTTTGAGGGGCGAAGCTTCATTTCAGTACTTGCCCAATGGGCCAGGCCGAGCCCCTACACAGTCCCCTGGTCAGCCGCTCCCAGAACCCCGCAGGTGGGCTGGGCAGGAGGCGCCCGGACCCGACCTCTTCTCCTGGGCTCCGAGCTCCCAGGCCGCCCCACCTTTGCTGCTCTGGATGCTTCTTACGGATGCACGTGGTAAAACGAATGGGTTAAAAAACAGCAGTGATCGAACAAATAGCAGCACCCCTACATTATTAAAAAAAAAAAAGGCAGTGATTTTTAATCTCTATATATCCACGAGGCTATAATACATTAAAAATAATACACCACAATGTTTGCAGTCCTCTGAGATTTTTTTTCGTCCCTCTGTCCGTCTCCCCTTCCCCCCCACCGCCCCCCGGCCTGAGCCGTGTTTTCCGTGTTGCTAGAGTTGTGTGTAAATAGAATCGTACAGCGTGTTTTCATTCTTTTTCTCCCGTCTTTTTTTCACTGAGTGCAGTTATTTTGAGATTCGTCCGTGTTGTTGCATGAGCCAAGAGCTGACAATTCTCTTGGGTAAGTTCTTAGGCCTGGAAAGGTTGGATCATAGGGCATTTAAGAAATTGCCAGATGTTTCCAAAGGTGGTACCATTTTATGTGCCCATCAAGTGCGTGGATGTTCCAGTTCAGTACTCAGTCTGATCCGTCTCATTAGTTTGAGACGTTCTGAAAGGTCTGTGGTGGTAGCTCATTGTGGTTTCAGTTTGTCTTTCCCTAATGACTAATGTTACCAAGCATCCTTTTATGTGCTTATTTGCTATCTGAATATCTGGTGAAGTGACTGTTGGGAATGTTTACCCATTTCTAAAGTGTGTGATAGTTTTTTCCTACTGAGCTTTGTGAGCTCTTTATTCCAGATCAAAACCTTTTAACCAGATATGTCATTTGCAAATATTTCAGTTTCTGACTTGCCTTTTAATTCTCTTAAACAATGACTAGTGGACACCACTTTATCCGTTTTTTTTTTCTTTTTTATGGATTGTGTTTTTGGTGTCTTGGTTACTTGGAACCATCTGCTGCATATAAAAACAATTCATGTATTTAGATTTTTTTAAAAATTTATGGCAGTATTTTGTAGATTTTAGTGGGCAGATATTTCGTCTGCCAGATAGACATCATAAAATCATAGCCTAATTTATGATGTTTTCAGAACTTTATCATAGTTTTGAGTTTTATGTTTATAGTTCATTTAGCGTTAATTTCCTTTGTATGGCGCAAGGTATGAATTGAAGGGTTTTGTTTGCTTCTGTTTTGGTTTTTCTGCTTCTGTGGTGCTGGGGACTGGTTCCAGTGCCTTTCACATAGGAGCAAGTGCTCTGCTGCCCAGCCTGAGACTCAGTTTTTGAATGTGGAGAGCCAGTTTTTCCAGAACCATGGTTGAAAAGACCCTTGGCTCTTTCGGAATTGCCCTTCTGTCTTGTTGAATTCAGTTATCCGTGTGTGTGAGGTGTTGGGGGGCAAGGGTGGGACAGCCTGCAGGACTGGGGGCGAGAGGGCTCTACCCAGCATTCCTAGGAGGCCTTGACCTGGGGATGCTCTGTGCTCTCTCCTCCACACAGTTATCTGTGATGAGTGCGTCTGCTTCTAGACGCATGTTTCATTGGTTATTTCCCCTCTTTATCCCACTAGCACACTACTTTTTTTTGTTACTGTAGATTTTTAGCACATCTCAAAGTGAGATAAGAGTTTAAACTTTATTCTTTTTTTCACAGTTCCTTTAACTATAAAACTATTTGTATTTCCATGTGCATTTTAGAATCAGTTTATCAATTTCCACTATAAAAGCATTATTGTTAGTATTGTGTTGATTCTATTAATCAGTTTGGGGAGAATTAACATTTAGTAGTGTTGAACCATCTGCTGCATATAAAAACAATTCATGTATTTAGATTTTTTAAAAATTTATGCTCGAGCGGGCCCAGTAACGTCTCCATTGGAGACTTTGTTGTTACTGTGTCTGGCATATCGAATACTCTCGGTAGCTTGCCGGGCTCTCCGAGAGGGGCGGAGGAATCGAACTCGGGTTGGCCATGTTGGCCGCTTGTAAGGCAAACGCCCTACCCGCTGTGCTGGCAGTATTTTGTAGATTTTAGTGGGCAGATATTTCGTCTGCCAGATAGACATGTGAAAATTAGCATAGCGGGTAGGCCCTGCAAGCGGCCAACATGGGCCGACCCGAGTTCAATTCCTCCGCCCCTCTCGGAGAGCCCAGCAAGCTACCGAGAGTATCTCACCCGCATGGCAAAGTCTGGCAAGCTACCCGTGACATATTCGATATGCCAAACACAGTAACAAGTCTCACAATGGAGATGTTACTGAGCCCACTCGAGCAAATCGATGAGCAACGGGAGGACAGTGACAGTGACAGATATGTATTATTATATATTTGATGCTATTTAAATGTCATTATATATATATATATATATACACAAAATTATATAAGTGCTATCAGATATTTGATGCTATTGTAAGTGGTATTTTCATTATCAGTTGTTTCTTGTTTTGGTTTGGTGTTGGGTCACACCTGGTAGTTCTCAGGGCTTACTCCTAGCTCTGCACTCAGGAATTTCTCCTGGCCATGCTCAGGGAATCAGAGAGCCACATCCCCAGCCTCTTCTACTTTATTCTTTTTTTTTTTTTTTTTGCTTTTTGCTCGAGCGGGCCCAGTAACGTCTCCATTGGAGACTTTGTTGTTACTGTGTCTGGCATATCGAATACTCTCTCTCGGTAGCTTGCCGGGCTCTCCGAGAGGGGCGGAGGAATCGAACTCGGGTCGGCCATGTTGGCCGCTTGTAAGGCGAACGCCCTACCCGCTGTGCTATCGCTCCAGCCCAGCGATGCTCAGGGGTTACTCCTGGCTCATGCACTCAGGAATTGCTCCTGGCGGTGCTCAGGGGACCATATGGGATGCTGGGAATCGAACCTGGGTCGGCCATGTTGGCTGCGTGCAAGGCAAACACCTTACCTGCTGTGCTATCGCTCCAGCCCCTCTTCTATTTTATTCTTATTCTTTTGGGACCATACCTGGTGATGCTCAGGGGTAGCTCCTGGCTCTGCACTCAGGAATTACTCCCAGCAGTATTCAGGGGACAATATGGGGTGCTGAGAATCTAACCCTGGTCAGTCACATGCAAGGCAAGTGCCCTACCCGCTGTACTATTGTTTCACCCCTGTTGTTTATTTTTTTAACTCTATCCCGCCCCGCCCCCCACCTTAGCTTTATTGTAGTTGGTGTTACTGCACGTGCCTGTTTTGCACATGTGATCAGTGTGCATGTTGCTCATAGGTAAGGCACACAAGCTACAGTTGTGGTTCTTGGCGGGGTCACTGTGGTGCTCACACATATCACCAGGGCACACACTTCCTGGCCAGGGGCCTGCACATCTTTTCAGTTGAACTACATTCTGGGACTGTTCCTCTTTTTTGTTCATGCACATCTGACTTGGTATAGCTGGAAATTACTGTGGCAGTAGGTATGGCAGACAGCAGAAGGATCAGGATCAATTCAGCACATGTGGAATATCAGGGGTTTGAATTTATGTCTTAAAAAGCTGAACATCTAAGTCCCTATGCTTTCCTCTGGCCCCAGTTTGTCTTTTCTGTGACTGGCTTATTTCACGTGGCATAACATATTCATGTTATAGCATGTCAGATTTTTGTTGTTGTTGTTTGTTTTGGGGCCACCCCTAGCAGTGCTCAGGGTTTACTCTTAACTCTGGGCTCAGGGGTCGTTCCTAGTAGCACTCGGGATCATATGCAGTGCCAGGGATTGGACCCTCATCAGCTGTGTGCAAGGCTTACTTAGTCTCTGACTCCCAGAATTTTATCGTAATAATGAATAAAGAGCATATATTTTGTTTATGCCTCAGTAAGCAGTTGATTTTACCTTTGGACAGTTGTCAGTACTTCATTAATTTTCACATTCCAGTTGTTTGTTACAAGTGTATTGTGTATATGTGTGTTTGTGTGTGTGTGTGTGTAACTGCCATGACTTGCTTATACCGTGGTTGTTCATTGCTCTGTGTGTGTGTGTTTGCTTAGTTTTCCATGTAACTTCCCGTGATCTTAAATCTTCTATAAGTTGGGAGAGTTCTTCAAATTGTCCATTCTGCTGGGTCTTCTCACAGATGCATCTTTCTGAAGAGATGTTCAGACTTGTGCCCTGAAGCACCTGAGTTAACCTTCCTGCTGGCCATCCTGGGCATTCCCTTCACTGTCAGGTCTCCTGACTCCCCGCCTTGCCCTCTCTTGGTTTACTGTCATTCTGGGAGCACATCCTGGAGAGGCTTCCTGCAACAGGAGAATGGGCATGCCAGCCTGGTACTCAGGAGCTGAGGGAAGTTTTGAGGTTGGAAGTTGCTTTGCCCCGGAATCTTGGGGACACTG